CTGTCATTAAATATGGCAGGCTTAGCATTTTTCACTTCAGATGAAAAAGCACAGCTAATCCCAGGAGGCAGATTTTTTTTCGATGCCTAAATTGATGAACAAGACAAGGTCAGCAATTTTCGGTTTATTGACAGAACTCTATTTACTTTTAGAAGTATTGAAATGGTATTTCGGATGCCCTGGAGCAGAACTGTGACCAAAACGAAAAGGGAGAGGTTTATGAGAACCATTGCCATTATGCTGCCTGAAGTATTGTGAGTGGCTTTTGTTTAACTTGCTAAAGCAGAAGGAGATATTTTGTGATTAGAAAATATTTTCATAAGAAAAGAACTTTAATAAATGGGACAGCACAGGATAGATGGAGACAAACACAGAGAAGCAGAACAACAGAGAAAGAGCAGAAACTGCAGCCAACCACCCATCTAGAGTTAAATATAGGTTTTGATGCAGAAAAATGTGTGTGGGCTTTCTGCTTTGTTTGAGGCTTGTTTGTTTGCTTAGGCATGATCATCACTAACAAGCTGACTAACTGATCTAGATTTCAGTGAGAGAAACAGAGGTGACCATTTGAAATCTGTCCGTCATTGTGGCAGTTCACTAATGACAGTTACTGAAAGCCACAGCTGAGCTCCACTTCTGTTTATAAAGATAAATCACCTCAGCTTATTCATAGTGAATAATAATAATAACAATAACTAACCCTATATTGCTGTGGGAGCCAGGACACAGTTTGTAAGAACTGGATTCTCTCCTTTAATCATTACAGGGTTTGCCCTGAACGGCTCTGCCTTCAGACCGAAAAACAGGTGGTTGTATTTTTTAAAAAACAAGTGCAGATTATCTAAAAGTAGGCCAAAAACGAGATTAAGAGAAGGCAGGAAATGTTGCTAATAAAGACTAGCAAGTCTAATTAAAATCTGGAGCCTACTGAATTTATTTCAACCCACTAAATCAGCAGCAGACAGCTCTGACCTGAGCAGGGGACTTGCAGCCATACAGCTGTGACTGCATCTCTGCCACTTATGCTTCACAGTAAACTGACACTGAACTTTTGTTAAAACTGAAAAAAACCCCTGTTACCTGCCTTGATTTTACTGCAAGTGAACTAATTTCTGCTAGCTAATATAAGTGAGGATGACAGCTTTGTCCCCGGGGAAGATGGAGTTTAAGGACACACATTCTTCATACAAAGTATATTGTTTGTTTTGGGGAAAGGTGAGCTGGGATCCTACAGTGTGACTAAGCTGACTCTCTTGGGGGAGGTTTTATTTTTAGTGGGGGTTGTCCCTGCAGGCACCCCACCTTTCCTAACTGAAATAATCTGAAGTGTATTTATGGGAAGTGCCAGTTAGCAACTAATCTCAGAGAGATTTCTGAGTAGGAAAACATTACTTTTGTCTTGGAAGACCAAGGAATGGTACAAACTGGGTGATCTTTCCAAGTAAAATTCTCTTAGTTCATCAAGATTAGCTTTGTGTTTTTTAAAAAGTGGTCAAGTAAGGGATCGGTACCTTGTTTGTGTGCTGTGAACAGAGTAGCTGGGATTTTGTTGATGATCCAAGGGTTTTCTAACAAGACCTTTCTTTATGTCAATGATTCTTGTCAATCTTAACTAAATTCTCATTCCACTCACCCTAGAGTACAGCTGTGGGCTTTGCAAGTCCATGTTTTTTTCATGATATCTTTCACACATGTATTTACCAGCCTGCTCTCATCTGGCTGTAAATTTAACTTGGCACTGCAACTGTTAGCCACCAAGTGATGTTCTATAGACATCAGAAAACATGGCCAGCATCCTCTCTCCCTAACGTGCCAACCTACATTCCCCATTCTCACCAGCAGTCCCCTGGGTAGGGAATGTAGGAGGTCACAACAGCAGAACCTTTAGGCACAACTTCTATGCAGAGGGACAGCAGGTGAAAGACACGGTATTCCTCAGATGCATTGACATCTTCAAACCATCAGCACCAAATCAGCCACAAACCCTCATCTCCCCCCTGCACACAGTCACTAACACCCTCACCCCAACTTCCAGATGTCTTGCCCACCTCACCTCTTCAGGCACGTTGGTGTGGCTCCATGCTGTTCTATGCAAATGTTGGTTCTATGCGAATTGCTTATGGTATGCAAATCAATGCATTAAGTAACTAGCATAAAATGACACATACGGAGATGTGCATAACTTGGCAGCTATAAATCTGGAATCGTTCCACTGACGTCAATGGTTTCACTTCAGATAGGCTCCAGTACGTGGAAGGTGTTGAAATCTGGCCCTGTGATATTTTCAGTCAGCTTCTAAACACAAACTCAGGATGAATGATTAAAAAGGTGTAATTATTATTAATGCCTTATGGTTGTTGTTATTTCTTTAAGTCTGTACAACTTAACATAAATCCAAAGGTGGATGGTAGAACATACTTAATTTCAACTAAGCTGACACTGGTCGTAAACAGAGAACTTGTGGTTTGTCGGATCTCCAGGCAGTATGGACCCGATCCACTTTGGCCCTAATCACATAATAGTTTCTCGTGTAAAATAGCCAGGCCAAATAATGCAGGATTTACGCCAAAAAGTCTTCAGAGGCAGATGCGCACCCTAAAGTATTTCAAATCAATTTAGAATGGGGAATGAGCGTAGATCAGTTCAGTGGTACACGCCATGTATTTTTGATCTGGGACTGGGTGTCTAGAAGAGCATGTACCGTCTTGTGTAACCACCCCCTGACAAGGATCTGCTGTTGTTGTGTGCAGGGGAAGCAGAACGTGGTAAAGGTTAATGCTGCACATGGCAGAATCACAACACCGAGCCGGGGCCTGACTGCTTCAGCTGCTGCACACTCATTTACACATTTGCAAATGTCGTTTTCACATGGCAGAATTTCCACCCACTTTTTTGCCTGAATGTAAATGACTTCAGGAGACGCCAGGCATTAAGTGTTCTTACAACTGCCCCCAGCATCCCACCGCTCAAAAAAAAAGAAGCTTCAAAATACTCCTAGAAAACAGTGTAAGACTTTAAAAATATATATCCATTTGTGTTTCTGAACCTTCTTGGTCAGTAGTGGGGCCAGGCTGAGATTTAGCAGGATACTGAACTACAAGACATGCCAGTCGATGACAAGGAGATTCAGCAAAGCCTGATAATGAGAGAGTGTGGAAGAGTCAGGCTCTGCTCCTGCTGTCTATTTGATCTGTTCAACTCACCTTAAATTCTGTTGCATTTTGCATGAGTAAAAAGCTACAGGAGGTTTCTACGGTATGAAGAAGCTTCCAGATTTTTCATTAGTTAACTGAACTAGCATCAGAGATTTTGTATACAAACATAGAAGCAATCTAAGCTGTGGAAATGTCTGCATGTATTTGTATATAAAATTTAATATTTATCAGGTGTTTATAACATTTTAATCAGTATTTCCTTTGTGGGTGGTTGGGTTTTTTTGTGTTGAGTTTGGGGGTTTTTTATTGACATCATAATCATGATAACTTTACATTTGTGTTGCTATAACTAACTTCTACTTCAACTGACAAGATTAGACCCTCTTATTATAGCTATCACTTTAGGAATGTTTTTGAATTTGTTTAGGTGTTTTTTTTCCAATCATAACAGTCTCCCTGCAGACCTGAACTGACATCAATTTACCACTGTCTTGACATCTTAAAGTTGTTTCTTATAAAATTTGCATTGGTGTCATTTTGTTTCAAGCTGATATTGTGACAATGTCTCCCTGGATTTATACTGACAATTTATTTTCATTTTGACATAATGTCATCTCTATAGCCCTTCACTAGCATCTACCATAAGTCTGTGGAATTAAATGAAAAGTGGTTTCATTCTGGAAACTGCAGTAACTAACTGAGCTTTCTCAGTAGCTTCTTTTCTGACTTCAATATCTAGATATTGATTGCACTTAATATTTTTATAGAAATGTCAAAAGTTCCTGCCCAGTCCTTTAGGCAGCTCTTCCATATGTATCATATTAGAAAATTAAACAAACGCTTCCCTTGAAAATAAATAATTGCCAATAAGAAAGGGATGGATGCATGTTTATAACAGCAGCATCAAAAACCAACAAGGCAGTATTGGTGACATCACCTTGAACTGCTGGGAGCTGCTGATGCTCTTTCACTGAAGCAGTAGGGATGTCTTTTGGGGACTGAACATTCAGGCTGTTTCCAGGCATTTCCCTGGCAAACACAAAGCCCTCAATATCTGTATATTTTATATGCTCTTGCTGCTTTATTTCAATACCAAAAATGACAATAGGCAAGCTCTGGTGGGAGCCAGGGTGAGGGGAGATTTCAGGAAAATTCTTGTGTGGCAGCTATATCTTTAAACCCAGTTTATTTTTTCAGCTTTTTCATTTTTACGTTCAAAGAGAGGAGTAGGACAGCGCGCAGTATCACAAATGCCTTGTGGGTCTTCTTGAAACAGAGTCATGGTGTGGTATAGCTAGAATCCCCAAGGGCACATTTGCAAATTATAAAACAAATTCCTGTCTGGGGTTATTGAATATTCCTAGGATTATCCATGATCCTGACAGAGTGGCTTGTGTATGTGATTTTGCAAAAGCTATTGTTCATCAGAATACAAGCATGGCTTAATGAGGTATTTGCAGCAGTAACATCATTTATATGTTCTGGTATAAACGGTTCAGTTCCTATACAACTTTGTATCTGGTAAATCACAGCACAAGTACAGAGGAAAGGACCCCTCAACAGCAAAATTTTTTAATTTTTAATTAATTGGCCCATCAATACTAACTAATGGTGATGGTGACTTGCTTTCACTGACTTGTCTTGTCAACAGTGTCTAGGCAGAACCTACCTCTCATGGTTTAACCCAAATTAAGAACTCAGAATTGAAACTTCCATGCTTGTGGGAGGTTCTTTACTCTGCCCTACTTACACAACAGAGTGCAATTTGATTGCCTAAACAGGGTAGTCAAACGTCACTTGAAAAGGCTTCCAGCTTGTGTTCCAAAAGCACCCAGGTCTCCCAGAGGTCCTGTTTCAGACCTGTCAGTCTCATGTAGACGTTTGGATACTGCAGCAGCAGATCTCTGTCCTCAGGCAATGAGATCAAGCCCAAAGCGTGACAAGATAATGACAAGAGACATTTTAACAACTGCACAAGTAAAGAGAGATCTGGGAAGATGGTGCGTGAAGCTGGTGAGAAAATTTTATCTTACAACTCTTCAAAACAAAAATGATTAATATAAGTTTAACTGACACTTTGAAATTTAGATTGGAATTAGTTTTGAACTTGTTCTCCAAAATTCACAGGGAAACCTGAAACTACATAGGCAGAAACTGAACACAAAAGTTGCACAAAATATTAGATATCTGTATGAGCATTCTCAATTCTTACAGATGATTTAGATAAGGAAAAAACAGTATATAAACCAATCAGTACAGTTTCATGTAAATCATTAACTGTTTATCGTGTATTCTTTTTACTCCCTTCCAATATTGAAATACGCTGTTGTTGTTGTTAGAATTAACTCAGTATATTTTTGTTATCTGTATAAACACTCAGTCTGTGTTTGACTTCAGCAGAGTTTCATAGTCTAATTAAATTTTGTCTCTCAGATTGGAATGTCTCTGTCAGTAATTCTTATCTAAAAGAGAAACACTAGCACTGGAAATAGCGCTCTCTGTTGCAGGCACGGCAATGAGCACTCGTATTAACCTTGCATTTTAACTCTTCCAAGCACTTCTTTTGTGATCTTGAAGTTGGACTTCCTGAGTAGACATTTTGAAACTAACTTCTCATTTTTGGTGCTTATCATAGCAATCCTGTTTTTCACATATGTGAATGACCCATCAGTGGTGTTAGCTCCAAACGCAGTCTGGGGACTTCAACATATTGCAGAGGGTGTCCAAAAATGTATGAAAAATTTTGAAAGTGTGGCTTTACTCAGCTGATACTGAGCTTTCTCTCTGTGGCCCATGGGTATAAATGTTCATAAAGTGTAAAGGATACTTTGCAATAGTCTGCATCTTGCTCTGATCTGTATCTGGCAACAGAAATGCTAAGGAATTTCTGCTGCAGGGATGACAGAGATTGGATATGATCTCAAAAAGTGTGAGTTGCCCAGAAACTTCGTTGTTCGGAGCACTGATCAATAATCACAGCCATCCTCACCCTACCAGTGCCAGGGCAGCTCTGTGGACTCAGAAGTGGTTAATGTGGGACCACAAGATGTTAATACCCCCAGTTCTGGGTTTCAAACCTGTGTAGCTAGATACAGGTGAGGGCTGGTCTTCTTATACTTCCCACAGAGGTTTTTCTAGGGTGGGGGCTTATTGTCCTCAAAACATACAGCTGTAGAGATTGCAGTTAGCTATTAATTAACTGCTCTAAATCTCGAGTCTCTCTTGCTGGAAGAAAAGAACTGACAGGAAGGGTTTGTGTATCCTCTCTGTAGAGGATACGGCCCCTTTATGGAAATTTTGTGCTGTCCTATGAAGTGAGACGCTTAGAGTTTATGCTGATCCCCATGTTTGGACAAGTTTGACTACAGATTTCTGCTTCACTAGGCATGAAGGATCAGTCAGCTATTAAACCAAGGGCTGTAATACCACTAGCTGTGGAGAGCTGCTTGATGACAGTGTTTTATAAAGCTTGGATAAGTACTGAGATGTTGCTATTCTTTCCAGCATGAAGAATCCAGACCTATACAAATTCAAGCATGTGTATGTACATTGTACTTCTGATGGTCACATGATAAAAGGAGCTGTAAAAGAAAATGAGATAAGGTGAGTTTGTTTGGATGTGCTGACAGCTCCGTGAAGGATATATTGAAATCTTGCATTTGAATTTCAATATGCAGTGGTAACAAAGGAAAGTGCATGAGGACTCTATGAAGATCTAATGTCTATTGACTACTATTTAGAAGTCAACCACAGGTTTCAACCTTTGTTTATTACATTTTTTTAATGTGCATTCAGTCTTTGCAGCATAGTCCTTTCAATGGCGACTGAGTACAATCAGCGCCTATTTCTCAAGGATTTGCATATTATGGTCTAGAAGTTTTAACTTTGTGAAATCCCTTTTCAAAATGTGAACAAACATTCCAGATGATGTGCAGGAAGAAGGGGAGTGTGATACAATTGCACCTAATATCACTTCAGCTTCTCCCTGTCCCACTACGTAAAAAAATCTGCTTCAGTTAAGCGTTAAGAAAATAAAATTGTCTTGGACAAGAAGAATAAAATCAACAGTAATTAATTGCTTCAATATTTCGCACAGTCATTCCCCCTCCATAGGAAATTAATTTCCATTCATACTACAGACAAGATACAGGAGATGGAAGGGGAGAAAATTAATTTGGCTGATGTCATTCTGTAGTTTAATCCTGGCATTAATATCCTTTGTATAGTGACTGGGAATGATATCTGGGTTCAAAAGTAATTCTGTGAAATTTGAGCTTTTACAGAATTGATACTGTTCTGGGAATGGAGATGTTGCAATCTTCCTACCATTTGCGGTAGCCAGTAAAAGTGAAGAATCAAATGAGCGCTAAAATTCCTGTCCCTCTCTTTGAAATACACAGCTGTCATCATCTCCCACTCCTGTTTTGTAATGATCAGATAGACTTGCCAAGTTAGTCACGTCTATGATTGTCTGTGTTTTGATGAACCTGTTCAAGCAGTTGCTCTCTCTTTGTTCTACCACAGAGTGAAACTTTTCTTTAGGCAAAGCTACAATACATTAGGTTGCTTGAGAACATCAAACAGGACAAATTAAATAAAAAGGTGCTTTATCTCCATAATTAGAATACCTATTATTAAGAATATTAAAAATCCAAAGACTTGCCTTTCAAATATAAAGCATAGAACCACAGTCAGAAAAAGTAAAGTGTCAGCAGTCACAAATTTAAGTATTTCAAAGCAATTCAGCTTTTGTTTTAAACTAGACTAGTTTCCCCAAACCCTGATATTTTAAAATTTCTTTCCAGGTCTGATGGCCTGCAAAGGAGAGTGGGACTGGGGGGACTGCCCTTAAAAAAAAAAAAAAAAAAGAAAAAAAAGAAAAGTTGCAATATGCCTGAAGGCAAAGAAGTAACCGGCTGTTCCTTTGTGCAGAACTTGAACTAGGTCCTACATTAGATAAAATTCTGGCCAGAGGGTTAGGGATAAATTTGTCTTACCATGTATAGAGCTGTCAGGTCTCCTGCCTTCAGACCAAGACTCACAATTAAATCCCATCTAGGGGGATTTAGACAGGGGAAAAGTTTCTGTATACACAGTGACACAGACAATCTGAAGTCTTCTTCCACTTGGAGAAAGAACCAGGAAAGAGATGGCTTTGGGTTCCTATTTGCATCCTACCCTAAAGAAGCTTCCTCAGGAAGTACATTCTCCTGCTGCTGAGTAGCACCTTGACACAGCTGGTGTGGTGCACCTGGAGCATGCTTCTTGCCTGGTTAACCATCACTGGGGTTTGCACACCAAGGCTGAAAGAAATCGTCTGCAGACACACCATGCTGGGGGAGCTCAACTCCCAGAGGAGGAACGTGGCTCCAGTTTTAGAATGGTAGGAATTTGTCTACAAATTTTAAATGTCCCACCACTCTGATTGCCACAAATTTCATACAGTGAATTTAAAGCAAACTGATTCAGCTTCCTTTTCCTGAATGTGGAGAGAGCCTAAACTCCTACCTGAGCTTGATTTCAATTCCATGTATTAAAAATGCCAGTGTTTGGAGGATAAATCTAAAGGGACTTCACTTGCATTTGCTGGAGAGGTTGGTATGTCTCAATCTGACATTCTGATTTAAAAAAATCATCTTTAGAGTCAGTGTGTCTATTCCTGTTTTCATTTTACGGAACATTATGAGGAATACTTGTTTAGTGAAAAGCATTCTCATTTGCATTATTGTATGTTGTTTGACCTTCCTCAAGAGCGCTGGGACACCTCCAAGCACACCACTCAGCTTTCAACACTGGCACTTCTGAGCCCATTCTTACACCCTGGTAAGATGATTAATGTACCTTGGAAAATCACCTAATGGTTTGATACGCTTTCTATGTGGCCTCTTCTAGGAGAAAAACAGGATAATGTGAGATGTAATTTATGGGTATGAGGTGGGGGAGCAGAGACAGAGAAGCTCATTCAGAAGTATTGACAGGATATCTGTAGTGCTTGAGAACCACAAAGCAGAATTTAAAAGCATTTGTGAGATAGAGTGATATTGGAAGAGATCCCAAATACATGGAGACACCTGGCTGATAAGGATGTTCCCTCTTTAGAGACTGGTGGAAGGAACATGAAGAGATTTATCTAGTCAAAATATTGACCTGAAACCTTGCCTTTTGTTAGAAGATGTGAAGTACTTGATATATATGACACCAAAATGTCCTAAATTGAGTTTGTTGGTTCTTCACAATTCTATCCTTTCTTGTCAGGCTAAAGATCTTACTTTCCCTGCAGAGCTCAGAAAGGCTGATAGTTCTCATAGAAACATAATGTCACAAAGGGGGGAAAAAAGGGAAAAAGAACACAATCTTCTTTTTCAATCGGTATATGCATGTCTGCCAAGCTTTTTGCCTCTCTTGGTTGCTGAGCACCTCCTGAGACCTTGCATTAAATATTTCGGAGCAAGGAAGCCACCGAGAAAGAACTGATATACCACAAAGTTTGGAGCTGTCATTCCTCCTTTTTGGATACTGGACTTCATTTGTAGTAGAAGGAGGAAAAGTTTTTAATTGGCCCAAACCCTGATTAACAGTGTGAGAGGATGGCTAGAAATCTGTTAATACAGTATGAGAGTGTTTATTTTCATTTCATTTTTATGCTGAGGTTCACGATCTCAATAGCATTCTTTATTGACATTTTTGAATTTTGGTGTCTCTAATTCTTTAAGTTTATAATGGTAACATTAAAACAACTGTTCAAAGTAATGCCATATTTCTGTGATTCATTTTTTAATATCAGGACATGACAGATACTGCTTATCCGCACACTCTGCATGCCCTTGATGTAACTTCAAAGTGCATCTTAAGTGCCACAGTACAGTATAAAATACTCCAACAAGCAATTTCAATCTCAAATCTCTCATGTGCTCAAAAAATTCCCCACTCTTGTCATTACAATTCCTGTCCCCATTTGCAAAAGCCTAAGAGACAAATGAACTTTTGCTAAGTGCCCTAAATCATCACTTTTT